ACAAGTGTTGTTGAGGCGGTAACAGGGTCGGTCCCCGTGATCTCTGCCGAAGTGCTGACAGATTTTCTCACGTGCTGCCCCTGGAGCCTGAGGAGGGGCCTGGAAGGCTGGTCTGGGCCTCTTATTTGGTTGGGCAAGCGCAGTAGGTGCTGGCCTGCGGAACGGAGCTGAGGGTCGGGAACTCCCTCCTGGCTGAGGACAGGTGCTGAAGCTTCTTTCCATGATCTGTGCATTTGCTGGGACTGCTGAATATGTATTGAGCTCCAGTACTAACAAGTGTTGCCTGATCTCTAGGCGGAGACCCGACTGGAATCTCCTGGCCTTTCGGCCCCTATCCATCAATGTCTCCGGGGAGTATCGGCCCAGCTCTAGGAACTTACGAGCATATTCTGATACTGTCATGTTTCCCTGAACCAGTTGAACAAACTCTGTTTTCTTTAGGTGTCGGATGTGCTCAGGGAGATACTCCGCTTGGAAGGCCGCTAGGAACTGCTCCCAAGTGACTGGTGTAGGCAGGGTGGTCTGCTTGAGCTCCCACCAACGTCCTGCTTCCCCTACCAGCATGTAGGAAGCAAGGGCAGCTCTCTGCTCAGGAACTACTCCTAAGATCCTAGAAGCTCTCTCAGTCTCTGCCAGCCAGTACTAGGCCTCTTCAAAAGAGGATCCCCCTGCAAATGTGGAGGGGTTCAGTCTCCTGTACCTCTCTATGTAGCCCAGGTCGATCAAGGAAGGAGCGGGGTCCCGTGGAGGAGGGACTGGACCCGGCTGGGGATAGACTGGGGGGTCCTGTGGTAGCACCTGCTGATATGCTGGGGGTACTAGGTCGTGCTGTGGTGGTGCCGGGTAGTATCGTGGTTGGGGCACCGGGTTGTACTGCGGCAGTGGTGCCGGGTGGTACTGTGGAGGAGCAGGCTCATGTCGGGGTGGCTCGGGATCAGCCTACTGTAGCGGAGGCTCAACCTGCGGTAGTGGAGGAGGGTCGAGTAACTCCTATCTCTCCCCTCGCCCTTGCTGGGCAGCTATGAATCCTTTCATCATCTCAAATAACCTGTCTACATCCTTCCAAAGTGAATTATCCCGGGCCGCTCGGTTTAGTGGGGGTCTTCCTCTCCTCATCTCTCTGTACTTGCATTTCATAAGGAATGGTTGAGTAACGGTTTATCGGTGAATATTTCTCTAAGCATTATTGTGCAAGGGATGGGTCCGAGAAACGCGGCTTTGATACCAACTGTAATGGCCCCGGAAATTTAAATGAAATATATGTATTAAAAATGTCAAATGTGGAAGCGTAATAAAAATTTTGATTAACATCCCTTACACAATAACCAAAACGTACTCAAAACATGAAAGAACAAACTAACTAGAAGAGATACTCGAGATAAGAACTATAAATATAACTATGGAGTCTTTAGGCGTCCCCTTCGCCGTCTTCCTGCGGAACGGGCTCGGGAACAATGTCTTCCTGATCTGAAATGGTTAAATAAGGAATGAGCTATACCAACCCAGTAAGGACATCACACCGCCACGGAAGTAAAGGTGGGTAGAAAACAAAAATGAGCAATGAAGCATAATTTATAACGAACTCGTTTATTAATATAAAAACCTTTACTGTTCACTTTACCTTGGTGAGATCCATGAAAATGACATATAAAAGCAATAAACATATTCATCATCCTAAAAATCATATAAACTGTATAACATTAACACTT